AATGGCCAAAATCAAAAGGCATAAACTACTATCGCAACGAAAGCATGAAAAATTGATAGATAAATTAGATTTAGACGCTTCGGACTCTGAACTAGAGTATGAAAATGTAAATGAATCGGATAAAGAGAATGAAGATCCCAAAGAAACTGTTTCGGATACAGAAGACAACCTAGAAGTAGAGAGCAAAGAAGATTCGGATCAAGAACCTGAGCCTCAAGATATGATCCCAGATTTTGATCAAGATGCTGAACCTCAAGCAACGGTACCAGATTTGAATTAAAAACCTGAACCTCAAGCAGTTCCAGGTTTAAAAATACCAGTATACACCGCAAAATCTGGTCTAGAGTGGAAAATTGGGCCATTCGTTAGAACCAAAAGGCGAGGTAGAAATATTATAAATGCCCGTCCAGGTCTTACCAAATACAGTGAAAAGGCAAGTACACATCTGGAATTTTTTAACTTGTTTTTACAACGGAAATGAAAGACTTGGTTTGTCGCTTTACTAACGAGGAAGCTTCTAGATATTATAATGAGTGGAATAAAGCACATCCAAACAAATCAAAGAAGTGGACTCTTCTTGAAGCCGATGAAGTAGATTGTTGTAGAGGCATCCTTCTCAAAGCTGGAGAACTAAGGTGCAAAAAGCAATCTACTCGAGAAATGTGGACCACTGGCACTTTAATTCGTCTATCGTTTTTACAGCTGTCATGCCCAGAAATAGGTTTGAGCAAATATCTTGCTTTTATCGTTCTGATGACAAGCCTACTCGAGAAGAGAGACAAAACTGGACAAAATGGCGGCCATTAGTGATATTTGGAATATGTTTGTAGAAAATTGCAAAAAGGCCTTTGAACCCTACGAGAACATTACAGTTGACGAACAGTTAGTGTGTTTTAGGGGTAAGTGTCCCTTGTCTCGTGTATATAAAATCAAAGCCAGGTCGGTACAGTATAAAAACTTGGGCTGCTGCTGCTGATGTAAAAACAACGTATCTGTGTAATCTACAAGTGTGCACTGGAAAGCTTGTGACTGGAAAACGCGAAAAGAATCAGGGGTACCGTGTAGTCTCGGATTTGACAGAACCATACCAAGGCAGCTGGCGCGGTATTACGACAGATAATTTTTTTTACTAACGTTCCACTTACAAAAATAACTTGTTGACAAACAAATTGATTCTTCTTCGGAAGAACAAGCCAGACACACCTCTACAGCTTAGTAAAACCCCAAGATCTATTGAATCATCAATGTTTGCCTTTAGTGAAGATCTTACAATTGTACCTAAGATGGTTCACCTCATTTCAAGTCAACATGATGATGAAAAAGTTTGTTCCGAAACTCCAAATAAACCATATATGATTTTAGATTATAATAAAACAAAAGGTGCGGTAGATAATGCAGATAAATTAATACGAGAACATTCATGTGTGAGAAAAACAGCTCGTTAGCCATTTAGACTTTTTATGAATATGGTCGACATTGGAGGTGTAAATTCATTTGTAGTGAATATCGAAAAATATCCTAACTGGCAGAAGAGAAACCGCTCGCGACGTCGCTCATTTCTTTTACAATTAGGCGATGAATTTACTAAAAGTAATATGAATAAACTACCCAGGAACAAAAATCTCCAGACATATGTAAAAAGAGCCTTAGAAGATTGTGACATCGTACCCGAAAATCCACAAAGCAATGATGAACTTGCTCAAGTGGCAGGCAAGAAACGCGCTAGATGTTACCAGTGTCCACGTAAAATAGACAAAAAAGTCAACACGAAATGTGACACTTGTAAGAAGTTTGTGTGTGAACTTCACAGAAAGAAAGATCAAAAATGTATGTGTGTTACATGTTATGTAGATTAAGAAGCTTTCCCACACAGACAGGTTGGCTATTCAAGAATGAAACGATACCTACATACGGCGGAAAGAGATTTGCCTCCAATGACGAAGTTATCTCACAAACAAGTCCTCGACAAATCATATTTTTCGGAAGGGATAAAAAACTGGAGAAACGTTGGGCTAAGTGTATAGAGCTCAAAGGAGACTACGTTGAAAAATAAAATAACTTTTTATCTAAAAACCTGTGTTTCATTCAAAAAGTCACGGACTTATTGACCCATCCTCGTATTTGTGTGATATAATCCCACATACTTTGATTACTATACGAGGCAAGAGAGAGTTCCGACACGCCCAACATAGGGCGCGGCCATTTTGAACCCTGTGACACAGTTTACAGCTAAAGAATCAGATCGCTCACTCTGCGTCGGCACTTTTGATCTCAATGTTTTAGTTTATACACTGTGCAACTCGGATAATACAATATATGACAACCGCCTATAATAAAACAGCAGTCTTCTGCGTATCCTGAATTTGTATCCCGGGAGTGGATGTTATTTTGGAACTTTCAACTGGTCCGAGTGAGCTAACTTTAGCAATAAACTGTGACTTCAAAAATAATATTCACTGACACCACATACTTTGATTTTCTTTTACTATACGGAAAATGGTCGCACTGCGCAGCTTTCTGAGTGCCTTTTAAAAGGAGATAGAAAACTCCGCCTTTTTGAACCCTTATTACGTGTTGCCTACATCTTGGCGCAATATTTTTAATGGGTGCGTTTTAATCGTCCGCTTCTGCTTCGGAATTGTCGGTTTTCTTGTTTTAATCTGACAGGTTAGAACGACTGAACCGACAATTCCGGAAGCAGCAGCGGATGATTAAAACGCACCTGATATTTTGCTTGGTACTGTCAGTGTCAGTGAATATTATTTTTGGAGTCACAGTTTATTGCTAAAGAATCAGTTAGCTCACTCGGACCAGTTGAAAGTTCCAAAATAACATCCACTGCAGGGATACAAATTCAGGATACGCAGAAGACTGTTGTTTTATTATAGGCGGTTGTCATATATTGTATTATCTGAGTTGCGCAGTGTATAAACTGGAACATTGAGATAAAAAGTGCCGACGCAGAGTGAGCGATCTGATTCTTTAGCTATAAACTGTGTCATAGGGTTCAAAATGGCCGCGCCCTATGTTGGGAGTGTCGGACCTCTCTCTTGCCCCGTATAGTAATCAAAGTATGTGCCTGACACTGACAGCAGCAAGCAAAATTTCAGGTGCGTTTTAATCATCCGCTTCTGCTTCCGGAATTGTCGGTTTAGTCGTTTTAACCTGTCAGATTAAAACAAGAAAACCGACAATTCCGAAGCAGAAGCGAATGATTAAAACGCACCTATTAAAAATATTGCGCCAAGATGTAGGCAACACGTAATAAGGGTTCAAAATGGCGGAGTTTTCTATCTCCTTTTAAAAGGCACTCAGAAAGCTGCGCAGTGCGACCATTCTCCGTATAGTAAAAGAAAATCAAAGTATGTGTATAATCCTATATAAATGCTGTATGTCACGATACTAAATTAAGTACTAAATTTAGAACTAAATTAATGCATTTTTAAAGAACTAAAAAAATTCACGTTGCAAACAGCACATTTAGTACTAAATTTAGTACTAAAAAAGTAATTAATTAATTAGATCTTGTTCTATTTTCTACTAAATTTATTACTAAAAGTGCACCGAAATGTTACGCAGAAGTTTTTCATAGAAAAAGTTGACACGACGGTATTTTCTGTACCCTTTTATTTTTAATTAGCGACAATTTTACATTATCGCCTTGAATAGAGTTCGCTTGTTTGATTTTGTAGGTTTTATTGTGTTTTTTTTCGTGGTTATTATGCTGTATTTGGTTGTTGTCAAGTCAACTAGTGTCAAATCACTGTCAAATTGATAATAAAAACACCATTAGGCATTCCAACGGCCTGTCAAAAAATAGGTGCCAGTGGGAAATTGTTGTATATTTAAGGGGGTAGCGACATAGTCTTGCAACTTGGACACTATTTTTATTCGAAGTAGTACTCGCCAAGCCTGCCAATTTATGAAAAAATCTATAGGTGGGTTTTTTAAATATTATTTTTATTGTGTTTGACATAAAATATTTAAATGTAATCCATTATTCATGATTTTACGTAAAGTAGATAGAATACACCATATGTCGCCACCCTTAGATATACCAAACCTCCCCACTGGTAATTCATTTGTTTGGAATGCCTAATTTACTTCACTTGTCTGCTAATTTCACGTATTAATACGTCAATGCGCGTGCGCCTATAGTAAATTTAGTACTAAAAATTGGTATCGTTGCAAACGAAAAAAAAATATTTTTAGTTCTAAATTTAATACTAAATTAATAACTTAATTTAGTGCTAAATTTAGTACTTAATTTAGTATCGTGACATACAGCCTTAAGGTTCTCCTTGATATTGTGTTTAGTTTGCTGTGTTTATGTTGTTCCGAAGCTGTCAAGTTTTCCGCTCGGCGATCATGGAGGTATAAGGGTATAAATCACTAAATTGTCGGCGATCGACAAAGCTGTCACTTAATGTCAGTTTGCGGAAAACGTCAACTTTACGGTTGAATTTTGAAGCGCAAAAGCCTACTTTGGATAGTGGTCGTAGAAAAATACAATTTTTGTAGATTCTATTCCTTCTAATTTAAGATTATCTACCCTGATGTCTTCATCATGAACGAAATTATCAAAACAAAAAAGTTGACCTATAAATCGTCAATTTCGAGAAGCTTTAACCTGGAACTAGATGTACCAATTTGACAGGATGCCAATTGCGAAAACAATAGTTGATTAAATCCAATTTTAGTTTTAATTATTCTATATTTAAACATGATTATTATTAGGTTGTTTGTACCTAGCACCTAACGTGGGAAAATTTTGAAAATAGGAAGCATGAATATTAATAACAAAAAGTGATAGTTACCCATCTAGTTTTGATAATCCTGACGAGCAAATAATATAAAAAATGAATAATAGAATCTAAAAAATTTAACGTTATACGAGGATTAGATATTTATTTCTTTTTTGTTTTCCAACCAGTGTATTTAATAATGTATAGCCTAACATCGTAAATGCGATGAAAATAATAATACAATATTTTACTTACCAGTCGCTTCATCCATATTAAAAAACGTAACGAAAGGATTCTTATCTGGGACCAAACCATATCGAATTTCTCGGGGATTCCCCTTGTCGCCGTCTTCCGCGTGTACTCTCAGGATTAAATCGCCGGGATTTAGACTAGAGCTAAGTGTAGTGGTAGGAGGAGCTATGGTAAATGCTGGCGGAGTATCTTGTTCATCTAGTACAGCTACAAGCAAAGGCCAACTCGCTATGTTCCTAGTATCTTCTTCCATGTTTGTCCATGGATCCTGCAAATAAATTTAAATGAAAAAAATAAGTGGGGAAATTAAATACTTAGCCATAAAAGAAACATCCAAAAATAAATGGGTACAATCAGGTAAACATTTTGATGTCTTTTGTCCCAGGTGGCAAACTTTAAGATCTTTAATGTTTCCATTAGCTTCACGAAAAGAATTCTGAACTCATTCAAAACTACTAAATTTATACTTTAAGCGCATGCCCGATTGATTGTCAATTTTGAATTTTTACCGTGAACGCAATCTCTTTTATATCTCGGTATAATATAAGTGGTTCAGAACCAATAACGAATGCAATTAGTTTTACTGGGAATGCAGAATTAGAACAGTTCAGTTTTAACTACATACTTTTATTTTGGTTCCAATCATAATCTGGCATTCCGTCCCTAGTGTATTTTCCGTTACCCGTGATCTATTACTGATGACGCATACTGGCTAAAAGTTGCGTATGCCTTAATTCAGGTATTCGGGCTGTCAGATCGGGTGATGTCGGTGGCGCTTGGAGGTCGCAGATACGAAATTTTTACAACAAACATTGAGTCTGTTTTTTACCTGCGCCAATGTTGCCAATTTACCAATTTACCAATTTTCAATTTTTTTAGATTGTCGATCTCATCTACCGAATTTTAGGGACTTTTTATTTCTCTCACACACTACTTTAAAATACAGGGTGTCTGTAAAAGGTCTTTACAAAAACATACCACATATTCCTTAGACCAAAATAAGTCGATTTAAGTAAAATTACCATAGTACAAAGTTGCTTCGTTTGGGCTCCAGAGGGCCTTGAAGTTACAATTTTTAAATCGTTTTTCCCATATAAATTTAAAACAACATATGCGATTTTGCTGAAATTTGGTATATTGGTAGAGTTTTATGTGGCAAAAAAATGGTATTAAAATTTTGTCCGATAATAATACATAGGCATAGAACTTGATTTTTTAAATAATTGCACCTTTAAAAATTCTACGCCAATTGAAGAAAAGGAGTTTAAGTATGAAATTTAGATTGCGCAACTCATTTACTTTAAAAAAGGTACTCTTGATAAGACTCGATTACTCTCATGGTTTTCGCTAAATTTCTGTTTTAATAATTTAGAGTGTATAGGTTTCACAAAAATATTTATTTACAACATAATCAAAATAGAGATTTTACAAAAATTGTTTAAAATGTTCACCATTTTCACGCATACAAAGATTTATACGTCGAAGAAAATTAAAATGTATCCTTTCCATAACTTCTTCATCACCTCTAAGATTGTTTATTGCACCTTGAATACGTTGCCAGAGTTGTTCCTCATTTTCTACAGGTTCCCTGTAAACTGTGGATTTCAGATGTCCCCATAAAAAGTAATGCATCGGTGTTAGGTCTGGGGAACGTGGTGGTCAGTTTACAGGTGCGTCATTGCCTCTGCCTATCCATTTGTGTGGATATTGTTCATTCAAGTGGTTTCTAACGTTTAAAGAAAAATGTGGTGGAGCTCCATCTTCCATAAACCACATATCTCTCCGAAGTTAGAGAGGTAAATCTTCTAACAATTCTGGTAACGTATTTTGTAGAAAATCCAAATAATTTTCTCCAGTTAATCTTTGTGGAAGTATGACAGGACCAACAATGATATTATCAATTATTCCAGCCCACACATTAATTTTGAATTCGTGCTGAAAATGGTTTACCTTTATTGCATGCGGATTTTCAACGACATAAACATGTTCATTATGGGTATTAGTTATACCTCTTCTTGTAAAACCCGCTTCATCGGTAAAGAGAACCTTCTTGACAAAGTTTGGATCTCTTTCTCTTTGCATATTAACAAATCGACAAAAACCCAAACGAATTGGAGGATCATGGACCAATAATTCTTGTACTGGCTTCTTATGGTATGAATATAGCAATTGTTCTCTAAGCACTTTATGAACGACATCTTTACTTACTCCTAGTTCCCTTCCAATTCGTCTGTTGCTTAATTCTGGATCTTCTTCAACACGTTCTAAAATGTCTTCTTCAACTTCAGGAATCCTTACAAAACGTTCTCTTCCATTATCAACAATGTTGGGAGCAAAGGAACCGGTCTCCCGAAGACGTCTCTCAACAGCAGCAAAAGTTGGGTGGCTAGGTACACGACGATTTGGAAACCTTTCAGAGTACACCCTGACACTCTCTCGAGCATTTCCTTCACAAAATCCTAATGTCAGTAACATATCGGTATATTCTGCATTGGTATATTGTACAGCCATATTAATAAACCACGCATTTGATTTTTAATTTATGGAGTCAGATAGAACACTTTCAATCGTTAATAAGAGATTAGGTGTTAAAACTTGACAATATTTTTATTTAGATGAAACTATGGAACAATAAATGTTTTTGTATACGTATTGCAGGCAAATAATTAATATTCCTCAAAAAATCGTACATGGCAAGAATCGAGTATTTTTGTTAAAAGTCTCGATTAGAGGTGTTGAAGAAGATATGAAAAAAGTACATTTTTATGTTTTTCATCGTATAAAATTTTGTCCAATAATAATACATAGGCGTAGAACTTGATTTTTTAAATAATTGCACCTTTAAAAATTCTACGCCAATGGTAGAAAAGGGGTTTGAGTATGAAATTTGGATTGGGTACTCATTTACTACAAAAAAGTACCCTTGATAACACTCGATTTACTCTCATGGTTTTGACAAAGTTTGTATTTTAATTATTGTTTATGTTCTAAAATTACTAAAATGTAAATTTCGTCAAAACCATGAGAGTAATCGAGTCTTATCAAGAGTACCTTTTTTAAAGTAAATGAGTTGCACAATCTAAATTTCATACTTAAACTCCTTTTCTTCCATTGGCGTAGAATTTTTAAAGGTGCAATTATTTAAAAAATCAAGTTCTACGCCTATGTATTATTATCGGACAAAATTTTAATACCATTTTTTTGCCACATAAAACTCTACTAATATACCAAATTTCAGCAAAATCGCATATGCCGTTTTAAATTTATATGGGAAAAACGATTTAAAAATTGTAACTTCAAGGCCTTCTGGAGCCCAAACGAAGCAACTTTGTACTAAGGTAATTTTACTTAAATCGACTTATTTTGGTCTAAGGAATATGTGGTATGTTTTTGTAAAGACCTTTTAAAGTAGTGTGTGAGAGAAATAAAAAGTCCCTAAAATTCGGTAGATGAGATAGACAATCTAAAAAAAATCGAAAATTGGTAAATTGGCTCAGGTAAAATACTATATGTGTATAATAGATTAATTTAAGACATTTTATAACTAATTCGACACATAGAAATACCATAAAATTTCAACTCTCAGCTCTGGGGAAGCACCGAATGTTGCTTTGGGAATATCCTATTTATGTAGTATAAAAACCTTTTGTTGGGTTGAGAATATGAGAATATCGTGTCCGTTAGTTTATGTCCGCGGGTGGTTAGGTTATGGAATTTTTATAATATGGCGAATAATGTACAAAATATTTTAAAAACTAATATTTCTCTGGCTAAAAATGCCATATTAAATCTCCGAGAAGGCCTATTCCTGATTGAAAACTTACTCAGGCAGATAAAAGTTTCGTTTTCCTTGTTTATTTACGTACTAAATATTATAAAAAGTGCCGTTTTGTCAGGTACCTACAGACTGCATTGACTAGTTACTACACCAATAAAAACAACATAAGGAATATACTAGGTATCTATCGGATCTCCTAAAGTGCTTTGGTCAAGTTTTAATAAATGTTATATATCTTAAGTGTCTTTCAAAAGTAGCCCTCCCGTATACTAGGCCACGAGCCACCACTGACCACTGGTTATAAGTCAAAATAGTAGGGAAGCCAATGTGATTCTTTTGGTATAGATTTTCGCAAGGCAAAATTAAAAATGCATCATTCATTTTTACTTTGTAGAAGATGGAAATAGTTTGCTGCGGGAGCACCAGCAGTGTGGACGCCTATGTCATATCCATCAACATTATGACAGCTGACATTTTGTAACCTTTAAATGTAAAAAAGTACATAAGAAAAACCAAAAATTGAACGAGAAAATAGTTTTTTTCGCCTACTATATGTGAAAATGAATCATATCAACTCTAAAAATATGACCGAAAGAAACGTATATCTTCTCCCATGTGCTGCTAAACAGCCCGATTTTGTAGTTTTTCACTACATATCTAGATATCTTTGACTGTCACTAGCGTACTTTGACGTTTCACATAAATTTTGATTAAACGTCAGTGTTAGTGAACATGAATAGTCATTCAGACAGGGACGAAGAATTTACAAATACTCCACCAAACTTGCAAGAGGAAGCCAACAATGTTTCTCTAAATTTACTACCTACTAAGTCAAGAGAACGGTACGAAAAGTACTATGAATTGTTTAACAACTGTAAAAAGAGTAAAAAAGCAAAAAACCTAACTGAAAATGTAGTACTTGCTTATCTTTCTGAAAGATCAAAGATTGTAAATGCAGGTACAAAGATTTTCGTTATATTTTCCTTTTATTTGTTTTTTTGGTAGGCGAAAAACAATTGTGTGTCACACATGCAGAAAACGCTTTAGCAGCACTTAGCTATCAGCTGCCTTCGCTTCACTCGCTCATGCAGCTAATAGCCGTGGGCTGCTTGTGACACAATATACTATATATGACCCGATTTCTTATGTTATTGGTGTCAATTTTATTTTGTTGGGTTGGTTGCATTATCCTTGTATAGAAGTCATTCATTTGGTATTGCACATGTGCACTTATTGAGGAACCGCCACTGGCTGCGAGCCGATTTTTAAGAAGATTCTGCCATTCATTTTTCTTGGTGTACAATGTTCTCCCCAAATTTTATTCCCTTTTAACCGACTTCAAATAAGGAGGAGGTTCTCAATTCGCGTAATATATGTTCAGAGATAATTCTTTAACGCGGTGATTTCAATGTTTCTTTTTTGTTAAAAAAGGGGTACTTCAGAGGTGGTCCCATATTAATTTGGTCAAAATCTAATAATTGGGTCCATTA